CCATAGTTGCCAACTTGGTGCTTTAAGCACCAGATTTAGTGCTTTTTGAAAACTAAAACGCCAAAAAAAATTATTTAGTGCCTAGTGCCTTTTTTAGGGCTTTTTTTCTGAACTAAAATTCAGCCGAGATAGGTAAAACCTGAAATATTTAAAGCTGTGGCAGCACTGAATTTACAAGAATCTACAAATTTAAATGCACTAAAATATAACCATGATTGATAAAAAGATGAAGTTACAAACCCATCTTTTTGAATTCTATTCGCGTAAGTTAAGTATTTCTCTTTTTCTTTTCTAATTATTTGTGCAAATTTTGATGTTTTTACCACCTGAATAAAAAACATCGCTTCTTGGTGCTGAATCCAAATCTGGCCGCACAATTGCTTAGCACTAGAATTTTGAGATATCCTAACCTCAAAGTGCCAAAAACACGGTTTTTGGCGATATTTGAGGTTATATAATGAAAACATCACATTTTTTGCTCATTTCTACTTATGGCATCATTTTCATTTGTTGCGATTCGATTTTTCTTTCTCGAGATATACCAGTTTTAATGCGCAGTACTTCGATATTACGTCGTACGTATGAGTCATCATAGCATGTGTAGAGGCTATTCAATCGTTATGAGCGAACAATTTTGTGTATTGATTTATGTATCTATGTATTCTTGTAAATATTCTTAATTTTTTGCTTTTGTTAAATACAAACTGTTATGAAAAAAGCATCTTTTTATTAAAAAAAATTTGGTGCTTTTAGTGTGATAAAACGCTTTTTTTACAAGTTTTTGGTGCTTTTTGAAAATTAAAAGTTGGCAACACTGCGCACAAGGAACCCGGAAAGCTTGCACTATGCAAACATTTGATATTTGCTTAAGCACATACACAGGAAATGGCGCCCATAAATAGGCTGATTCACATGCACACTTATTTATAAGAGTAAAGCAAAAAATTGATACTTACAGAAGGCAGCCATAGCTGCAAGTAGTGTTAGCCATTTTATGGCGTGTAAGCGCGGTAGCGGCAACATTTTACGGCTTTTCCTGCTGCTTTTGTTGCTGTGCGTCGTTGTTGTTTTTCTTATTTTGCTGGTTCGCCTAGTAGTGGTTTATAACGTATCCAAATGTTAATCCACAATATGTTTCAATATTGCGCACTGAATAGGACGGCGTGCGAAGCGTAATTTAACACTTGTTTGTCAAATTTTCGATTTTCACTTTCAACACTTGCACAATTTTTCTTTGCTTTTATAGCTGGTTGGAGGAAAAAATAAAATGAATATAAATTAGGCAATGCAAGGATGGAAAATTTTTGTTACACAGGAAATAATTATGTTAAAAACACTGCTATCAGAGCCAGATTTTGTGTGGAAAACACTTTTGAGATTCACTAAAACACATTGCACTTTTCAATTCAAATTTTTAAATTTTTAATGGCGTGTTGAAATTATGGAAACACATGCAGAGCCTGCAGGTATCTGTAAAAGGAATAAAAATGGTGCAAGATTAATGTAAAAATTTTTAGTTGGTATTAAACAATTTAATTTTTTCATATCTTAATATTGTATCAATTATTGGTCATCATAAAATGTTAAAAAATACCCACAAATGCCANAGGAAAAAATAAAATGAATATAAATTAGGCAATGCAAGGATGGAAAATTTGTGTTACACAGGAAATAATTATGTTAAAAACACTGCTATCAGAGCCAGATTTTGTGTGGAAAGCACTTTTGAGATTCACTAAAAACACATTGCACTTTTCAATTCAAATTTTTAAATTTTTAATGGCGTGTTGAAATTATGGAAACACATGCAGAGCCCGCAGGTATCTGTAAAAGGAATAAAAATGGTGCAAGATTAATGTAAAAATTTTTAGTTGGTATTAAACAATTTAATTTTTTCATGTCTTAATATTGTATCAATTATTGGTCATCATAAAATGTTAAAAAATACCCACAAATGCCTACATGTGAACTTTTTATAACATACACATTTTTAATAATTGAGAAAATTTCATTATTCAGGATTTCCTATACTTCCTTCATTTTATGCATACATATGTACAATTGTACGTACAAAATAAAGACATCTACGAAAATTAAAAAATAGGGGTGTTCGAAAAAAGTGTTTTTTTTCAAATCGCAAAAATTAGAAAAAAAACGTTTAATTTGATCAGCTACAACTCATAACTTATAAGTTTCAATATTATGTCAAATTTATCAAATTTAAAGTCAACACTTTTTCGAATTTTCGCGATTTAAAAAAAATTTAAACTTTTTCACACATTGGCAGAGATTCCAATTTTTTTTTTTTAATTTAGAAATTAGTGCGGTTGTTTTTATCTTGAACGTAGCTCCTATACAGAATTTAGACGTTGATATTTTTAAGGACCACACNTCAAATTTAAAGTCAACACTTTTTCGAATTTTCGCGATTTAAAAAAAATTGAAATTTTTTCACACATTGGCAGAGATTCCAAATTTTTTTTTAATTTAGAAATTAGTGCGGTTGTCTTTATCTTGAACGTAGCTCCTATACAGAATTTAGACGTTGATATTTTTAAGGACCACAATAATATGTGCCACAAATTTACAAATTTTGTAAATCATAATTATTACTGAGGTGACAACTCTAGTTGAAACATATCGAAATTAAATAATTCCCAATAATGATAAATGGTAATGGACAAGTCGAACTAGGGTTAAGATTTTTTTCAGAGATTACATTAAGATTTTTTTTTTGTCAGTTCTTGTAGTCTATTCTCAGCATTTTTCGCTTCACTGGGCTAAATAAGTTAGGAATTCCCACCGCACCCACTGCCACTCTGATAGTCGAGCGGCAATCAGGTCAAAATTAATAGGAAATGTTCCTTTCGGTTGTGTCAGAATATTTCCCAATTTCACTCATATGACATAAGCTATCGACCTTTTAAAGNAAATGTTCCTTTCGGTTGTGTCAGAATATTTCCCAATTTCACTCATATGAGTGCCATGTCCCGTTATTTAGCAGACAATTGCTTGGCGGATAGGTTGGCTGGGAGAGGTACCTTCGAGGTAGTTGTACAAAGCAAAGAGGGGATGGGAATACCTGACTGCGGGCTCTTAGCAAAGCCGAAACTATCGTTTCGGTGTGGGTTTCGTCATTTTACTGTTGTATTGGAACTCTCGCAGCTTTGTCAAATTTGATAATTGTTCAAAATTGTTTTGAGAATGATAAGGTTGGAATAATCTCAACTATTTGTCCGAAGCTATCGACCTTTTAAAAGGCTGAGTTCGCCTGGAAACTTTCGTTCTCGGCACATTGTGATTTACCGAAATCTTGTCAGTTCCGGTTCAAGACCTAATTCGAAATATAATTCGCTATAACCCGACTTTCCGACCGAGTCGGCGAAGAAATAATTCGACAACGAAATAGGAAATCAATTACCCTCTTTGAATTACGAATATGCGACTTATTATAAATACTAAAGCATATCGACATATCGTCCGCTTTCTTTGGCACCCCATAACACTCTTTTGGAAGAGTTGCGAAGACAGAGAAGGGCCATAATCCGCTGAGCACTTTTTGTGTGGATGCGAACCCGCATCTTCTGAGTAAACTTCAATAATAACTAGGCGCGTATAAGCTTAGCCGATTTCCAACTTAAAATAAATTCAACCACAGAGAAGAAAGTCTCCCAGCTGTAAAGATTGATTAAGAAATATTATAAACCATATTTTCAGCTCTGAAAATAAGCAACTACAAATGCTCTACTTGTACACATACTCCAGCCACTTGACATCAATGGAAACCAATTGTCATCATCTCTGCATGTGTGCAGTACTCGTAAAGAACGTCACACTGAGTTGTTCATTTGCTAATGAATTGGAAATAATGTCATTAAACACCACAAACAACCCCATCAAAGCATCTCTTAAGCGCTTGCCACTCCACCTCCAACTACGTCACAGAACTCTGAAGAGTGATTGAGCAATAAACGCACCCACTCTCACACCTTTTAAGCGCCCGAATGTCACTTGAACGTTATGAACAATTGTTTTTTGGACCAATGCAGTTTGAGTTAAACGATAGCAATTAGCAGAAGAGGGTTGGTTATAAACAAGTTCAAGTGAAATGAGGAAACTTGAAGAAATGTGCAATAAGTTGAACGAAGTGCTCTGGTGAAAGAGAAACGGAAGTGAAATGAAAGTAGAAAATTAAGACTAAATCAATACCANAGTGCTCTGGTGAAAGAGAAACGGAAGTGAAATGAAAGTAGAAAATTAAGCCTAATCAATACGAATATGGGAATTGTCAGTCAACCACTTAAATAATGAGCGGACGAAAGTAACCATTTTGTTAGAGCTCTAAGGATTTACATAATGTGCTATCAACTCCAGCTTTTACAAGCCTACTTGCCATCCGACCGTCCGAACTAGTGTATGTACTTGTACTTAGACGCTAAAGAACTCGATAGTAGAGTCCGAATTTCGAGCCACATTCCAATAGAAAAACATCTGATCAAATAGTCATCATCCCAAATCAACCGTGCTCATCTAGAGGATGACGTTGACGTACAGCGTATTTTTCTCGTCACTATGAATAAAGACTCATCCAGTATTTCGTTTATCTTCTTTAGGCCACACGTACAACGGGGCATTATGCTGAGGGCGTGGAAATTCGACCTAAATTTTCCGGTCCACCACATCCGCCATACACNTGCTCATCTAGAGGATGACGTTGACGTACAGCGTATTTTTCTCGTCACTAGGAATAAAGACTCATCCAGTATTCCGTTTATCTTCTTTAGGCCACACGTACAACGGGGCATTATGCTGAGGGCGTGGAAATTCGACCTCAATTTTCCGCTCCACCACATCCGCCATACACATTGTATTATCGTCATAAAAGCATACTTATGTAGTTCGATTTGTAAACNAGCTTACGACATACAACAATACGACACTTACGACACCGTTGTGAATCCCTTAATTGTATTATCGTCATAAAAGCATACTTATGTAGTTCGATTTGTAACATCAAAGTACTAGTACAGTGCCTTCAAATTCTAAGCTATCAACTTGGAATGTCCCTAAAACGCATGCAAAACCAAGCGTTTCCTGAAGCTACTTACAAACTCTCAGTACATTAACGTATTGGATGGTACCCATGCTAATAATGCTCGAAGAAATGCCAACAAATGCTTGCTGTTGTATGTGGCAGAGTACAAATAAGTAGCTTGTCAGTTATTCAGTCAATGTCGGCAAAAAAATCAATACTTGGCTAACACTTCATGTAATATCCGCATTAAACCCAAAACTCGCTCAGTTCACTTGTCAACATTGTCGTGTGGGGCGGAGTGGAACAGCCTGAAGCTCTTAGAACAAATGTTGATACGCCGCACACACAATACACAAGTAGCCAAAGAAACGCTATCATCAGTTTGAAGTGAACGAATAAACGCAGACCTACTGAGGCTTTTTTGAGCTAAGTAAAGGAGAGTCCATGCCTATGTAAGCGCCATGTGATCTGCACTATGCCCAGCGGTGCCANTTAGGGTTTTAGTGTTAGCTCCACATGCCGGATACTCATTGTACTATGGTTGATCCGTTAAAAGGATCCTTTGACTCGGCAACAACGCACACGAACATAATGAAAGGACCAAGAGGGATGAAAAACTGGCATAACTTAACAAAAGAGAGAAGCGATTGGCGAAGTTATTTGGTCTTGGCTCAAACCGACAAACAGCTGCAGTACCAAGTAACTACTTGATACTAACGGATTGACTTTAGCTTCCCCGGTTGAATATTGCTTCGTCTAGCAGTTAATACTTTGTAGTCGTAAACTGCTCACTGACGCTGAAGTTGGTCATTCCCTGGCCGTATGACTTTGATTACTTCATCCGCGGTTGGTTCGCTATAATCGAAAAGATAAAACTAGGCTATACATGCGCTACATTTAAGTTTTAAGGAGATGAAAGGAGAAAATCCGTGAAAGAAAATTGGATGCCTCGGATCAATTTTTTGCAAGGATGGCCCTAAAGAAGGCTGCAATTTGGAATATTTAAGGCAGGTCTAAAGGGACTTGGGACATTTTCGGACCCTGAGCGATTAAGGACAAACATTTTTATAGTATATTTTCCAATCTAATCATAAAAGCTATTTGTTCTAATTAAAAAAATTCACCGATCCAAACACATAAAAACTATTTGTTCTGATTAAAAAATCTCACCGACCCAAACACGGTTAGATTGCTCGATTTCAGTCTGCATA